ATTAGGGGCCATGCTGCTGACGTCACCGGGTCGGGCCAACGATGAGTTAAAGCAAACAATCTATCGCGAAAACCGCATCGAACCCCCAAAAATAAACACCATTCTGAACGTAATCGGTCACCTGCCTTTCAGTGTCGTCAACAGAAAGCCTCCGATACAACAAAAAAAAAAAAGTTAAATTATCATTATTATCTGTATGATCATATACTTTGATGAAACCCCTGAGATGTATTCCCCCCCCCCCCCCCCCCCCCCCCCGCACCCCGTTTTCAGTATAGAAAATGTGTAAGGCGGATGAAAGGAGATGAGGCTGTCCAATGAATGAATGAATGAATTTCTACCCCACTAGGACATCACACAAGCGATAAACACCCGATGACACAAAGTGCCACCATGCGGATGAGGATCGCAGTGAAGAGGTCCCAGAAACCGCGTTCAGACATTTGGCCATAATATGGCCTGCCTATATTGCGGCCCCTGGCAAAAGCCAGAGTAGGGCTTCAAATGACAAAAAATTTCGTCCTAAAAAGGACGAAATTGGGTAGTAAGCAATGATTAGCTGTCCAATAAGAAACCCTAAAACAAATGTTAATGACAGAGGGCAAAGGTGCTGGGCTGGATTCCATATATGATTTTGAAACAACAGCCCCGGATATATCGGAATAAAAGAGTAGATTCCGAGCCCTATGTGACAAACAACCGCACAAAAAAGTGAGGATGATTTTGTGTGTGCAGTGGTCAATTAATGAATGTTTCTTTTGTTTTTGTAACACTCTTAGAACTCTCCGTGGCAAGCCGTGTTCCTCAGGAATACAACAGTACTTGGTTTCTGCTTTTTTTCTGTTGTCCACATTCTGCTTTGTGCCGGTAGTGCTCTCTCAGTTGCCAGGTATACTGTGAGGCTGCGGAGTCTCAAGGTTTCTGTGACTTCTTCGTTCCATAGTTCTTCTTGGTTGTCCCTAGCTCTTTTTGTTTCAACTTTTATGCTGTACATTCTCGTAAAGGCATCATTGAAACCATTTCAGTCTTTGTTTTTTCAATGAATTTAAGTATAGGTGTCTTTTCAATAGCTTTCGTAATTTCTTTGTTTATCAACAAATTTCGTCTAGTTTTTCTCAAACATCTCATTTATCAGGTGGTCTGCTTTCTTTCGTGTTCTTTAATTAATGTCATACGGATGTGAATCATGGACAGTAAATTAGTGAAAACTTTTTTGGAAGCTGCGGAGATGTGGTTTTACAGACGAATGATGAGAAATGAAGAGTAATTCAGACGTCTTGAAAGAAACTGACTCACGAGGAGAACTGATTATCCACATTAGAAATAGACAATCTATATTCTTTGGTCATGTGATGAGAATGAGTACATCGTGACGGTAGCAAAGTTGGAGGAGAGGAGAGTCAGAGAGAGACCGAAAGAACAGATGCTGGACAGTTTGACATCATGGCATGGAAGATCATCTGTGTCAGAGCTGACTGAAAGTACACGAGACGGTTGTGGACAGAAATGACTGTCAACGCAACACGACATGGACTTTAAGAAGAAGTCAATGTTTGAGTCTGACACTGATAGCGCAGGGCTGGTATGAAAACTGAATTTATAATTTGTCTATTCATCTCTGCTGTTAGCACCGGCCAAGAATTTCTAAATTGTTTTGGTCTAGCGGTGTGTTTAATTTTACTAATTAACATAGCCACATTTAAATCTGGTCACTTTGTGTCAGTAGGATGTCCCAATTTGATTATTTTATTCCCCGTGTGGGTTCCGGTTCCATATCGTGGGTAGAGGGGGGGGGGGAGGACACTGCCTCGCCTACAAGCATGTCGTACGAGTCGACTAATTGAGGGCATCCTTTGGGGTTTGAGTACATCTGCCTGTGTGCCAGATACCATGAATCTGCACACAAATAAGCTTGATGTGTGAAACGGATGTGCACGTAACACTCAGGTCTCAGAAGAACACTAAAACCCGAAGCTGGACGAACACCAGACCTTTCTCCTGGGGTTTGCAGGGGTGAACACGACAACAAAGACCGCTTTATACTGCTGAACATATAAGGTAAAAGTAATAGGATTTCCAGGATTTGCCTCTGTTGGATTCATGTTGTTTTAGTTCGTCCTTCAGATACTCTTTTCCCTCCCTCCAGAAAAATTGTAAAATGGTTAAGCGGCCCCTAACTATGTACGGAAGTTTGCCCCCCCCCCCCTCCCTTTTTTCCTTAAACATTTTGTCACACATTCCATATTATGTCAAACATACCATTATATATTTTGTCATTATTATTTTAATTACTATTATTGCCCATTCAAACACCGCTTATACACCTTGACCCCCCCCCCCCCCTTTTACAATTTGCAGAGGGACTAAGCCTCTCTAACCCCTTAACGCCCCCCCCCCCCCCCAACAAATACCCCATACAACCTCTTATGACGATATAATTAGGCCCCCCCCCCCCCCCCCACCCCCATCCATAAGAGCTACAACAAGAATCATCCTGGTGTCCCTTTTTTGTCTTTTGCAGACACACATGAATACACACAGACACATGTACACACTTACACACTCTCAAATACACGCTGTTTTATTGTCCGGCTTCGCCCAGGATAGTGAAAGAAATTCGTATTCTCCCGTCCTCTACCTCATCTTGGTCTCTGTTGCTGTCCAGTATGTAGGCCTAGTGGAAATAACTAAAACCCTATATGTAATATTCCGTCTTCTACTCCATCTTTGACTCCACCGCTGTTGTACCTTCAGTCATTGCCCCTAAGTGTTTCCGAGGCATTCCCTGTAATACTAACACAAATATTTAACAGTTTGGGAGACAGACAAACGTATTGTCTCAGACACACATAGAGATGTGGTTTCAAGGAAGATAACAATAAATAGTTTTTTAAATTACTTTTTCAGTTGTAGTAATGGGAGGGGAGGGGGAGTCCAGTGGGGTATAATTCCAGCGAAAGTTTACTTTTACTGATTGTCGCTGAAATGACTCTTGACTTTACTTGGAATGATTCTTGGTTTACACCGACTTTAACATCTAGGGTTGAAAACACAAACGCCACTCAGCTTCTTTGTACATTCTGTCAGTTTATTCTGGTCCATTTGTTCCACATCCTCAAACAATTATTCTCACTTTCATCGCTTGCGACAAATTCAAACACTAGCCATTCGCGCGACATAAAGACTACATCTTCAAATACTAAACCGTCTTCCCTGACTTCTGATGATCGACTGACCACGAGGCTAGCTCGGGCTTTCCCTCGCTTACTCGACTAGCCACAAGTATCTCGTTGTGTCACTATAACAGGACTTTCTGCTTGCCACAATGTAATCGTGGAGTCCATGCAAAGCAGGGTCATCATAGTCGCAATGAATAAAGAAATGTGACTCCTAAATTAAACATTGTAGTCAATGTGGCTCTATAATAAACAACAATGGAGACTGGTCAATAGAAATTAAAAGGAGGATGGCCATAGCAATGCAAAGATTGAAAAGCCTTAAAAGTCTACAGTTAAGCACCAGCAAGGATATAACAATTAGAATTTTGAGAGCATGAGTCTGTGGCTACATACGGATGTGAGTCGTGGACTATCTCTCAGTCCTTAAGAAAGAGAATAGGGGCTTTTGAGCTGAAATGCTATAGAAAGATTCTCAAAATATCTTGGACAAAGAAGATTGGAAAAATTGACATCTTAAAAGATCTGAACATCAAGGAAGATTGGCTAATAAACAGCATCCTTTTTCGAAAGCTGAAATATTTTTGTCATATCAAGCGCCACAACGGATTGGAAAAAATTATAGCAGAAGGCATGGTACCAGGAAGGAGGGGCAGAAGTCGACCAACACGAAGATGGGCACAGGATATAAGTGACTCCTTGAGTGTGAAAGTTCATGAGGCGGGAGAACTGGCAAGAGACCGAGTTTCTTTCAGGCAGACTGTGATGAGAGCGACGTTCTGCAAAGGTGCTACATAATGATGAGTCAATATGGTTATTGAAAATGTAATTCGTGTAGTGGTCACAATTTGGGAGGAGTTAACACTTCGTTTATATTAAACACACGAAATACAGAAAGGGTTGTGCTTTATAGTGTGTGTGTGTGTGTGTGTGTGTATATATATATATATATATATATATATATATATATATATATCTGTGTGTAAGTTTCTTTTTGTTGTTATAAAGCCTTGCTTTGCCTGGGGCCCTAATTTGACCCAACCTATGGGTTGAACGGGGCTTTTGGCACCTATCCCTGGGTGATCCTCATCCGGATGGAGGTACTTTGTGTCACCGGCTGTTTATCGCTCAGTGTGATGTTCTGTGGGATTTAACGTCATCATATATATATATATATATATATATATATATATATATATATATATATATATATATATATATATGCCATAGTTTCCATAGTTTGAAACAGCTTAGCGATGTGCACGAACTCCGTTGCGAGGATCCTGGAATACTTTGGGTAGATTTCTAACTCCATATTTAGCCCGGGCAGCGCCGTTAGGCTACTCTGTTTTTTTTTAAATTTCCAACGGCCAAGGGATTTTTTTACGTGCACAGCACTACACACGGGCGTCCGACCTCACTACCCAGAGTGAAATCCCAGCCTTCAGCAGGGCCTGAACCCTGGACTCCAACAGTCCGCACTTGAGGCGGACATCGTACCTCGCGACCACGCAGCTCCCATAGAGAGAGAGAGAGAGAATGCGACAGGCAAATAGAGAGATAATAACTCTGATGTTTTTTCTGCCATTCTTAAACTTTGCTGTTAAAACTGAAGACAGAAATAAATTAACGAGTTGAGTATTTATATATAAGTAGAGAAACGCAACAAAGATGTGAGAAGTTTGAAATAATCCGTAACAAAGATGTGAGAAGTTTGAAATAATCCGACCGTAGATTTACAGTTGTAATTTTTAGATTACCAAGTTGTTGATTGGCTACAGTAACAAGATGGCCGTGTCCTTGCTTAAACGTGGATCTCTATACATGACTGCTAGAAAATTTACTTTATCTATATGTAGTTCGCGATTATATTCTTCTAGTAAAGAAGGAGCGGGATCTACAGGTTCCGTTGATTCCAAAGAAGAGACAAATAAACAACGTGATAACGTCTCTGATGCATCGGATAGTCGTGAAGGCGATGCCAACATTAACAATCCAACAACAAACAACACTGAAGGACCTTCTGAAGTCTCACCCACAGAAAGAGCTGTAGATAAGTTTTTCAAAGTTGTGGAAAAAGTCAAACAGTTTGAAAGTAGAGCAGATACATTTTCGAATAAATCTGACGCTACAGCTGAAAAGACAGGAGAAGGAATAAAGCAGAAAGATGCAGTCACTGGCACTGAAAATGAGTCGTTCGCTACAATGTTGAGGAAATCGAAGTTCGTGTCTTTAGGAGAATTCAGCGGAAGATTAGTTGAAGGAACAATTTTTGAAGTCATGGAGGATGATTTGTACATTGACTTTGGTGGAAAATTTCACTGTGTCTGTCCGCGCCCAAAAAGGAATCCAGAGTAAGTGTCACAATTTAAACTCAGTAAATAACATTCATTATTAGTGAGTATCTACTGTCAGTTGAAAAGTATTTATGAAATAATATTAATAATATTAACAATTATTAAATAATTTATTATTGAATATTATCTTTTAGAGAAGACACTAACTATTTCTGTTATTAAATAATTGCAGTTATTGACTATTTTACATTTCTCTGAACCAAAAGTTTAGCTTATGAAATTATAAATAGAAAAACTGAATCTAATGGAGGATTTCCTTCGAAGTTAGAGTACATCTGCCTGAGAGGCAAGGAGCGATAGGTCTGCATACAAATAAGCCAGATCTGTGAAAGGAATGTGCATGCAACACTCAAGTTCTGTAGCAAAACTAAAGTCTAGAGGTGGACTTTGTTCCAGGGCTTGACCCTTAAGCGTTGCATGCATGTCTGTCTGTGTGTGTGTGTGTGGGCCTATTTGTGTGCAGACTGGATCCCTCATCTTCCAGGCAAGTACACTTTAATTTCTGAGAAAAACTGTCCTGCATACATTCAAATTCAAATTCTCTTTCGTTGACCACATTCAGCTAGGTCAGATCACATTTCTGCTCACTTTCCTTTCAGCTATATTTGTGGTGACGTCGTATCTGGTCTCGATCTCATTTGGTTTTGGATTGTGTTCAGTATTGGTCGCTTTCTATTTGTTGTAGTTTCCGCTCTTGCTGTTGCTTTTTGTAATTTGGCTGGCCCTGTACTGCGCTCCAGATGATTGGGTGTTCTGCATACATTGTCTTCTTCTTTAAAATCCATGCTGTGTGGTGTTGGTAGTCATGTCCGCCCACAACCCTCTGTCAGGCTGTCTCGTTTACTTTCAGTCAACTCTGATACAGAATCCTCCGTGCCATGATGTCAAACAGTCCAGCATCTTTTCTCTTGGTCTCCCTCTGCCCCCTCCCCCACCCAACTTTCTTACTGTCACGGTGTACTCCAGTTTTCTCTTTCTCATCAAGTGGCCAAAGGTCTTTTGTACATTGCCCAGGCCTCCAGACAGAAAGCCTGTTTTTAGGATAATCATGGAGAGGTGTAGGAGCTATGTGAATCTTGATCAGTTTTGGGTTTGAGCCCAGGGCTTGATGCACCTCCCGTACATGTTGTGACATACCTTGCCTTGCGTCTTTCATGGATAACTAACCCATTCTTTAATAATACATTTCAGACCTGGTAAAGAGAACTCAACGTGGACCCAAGAAATAGTTGAAATTAGTTCTTCTTACCAGAATTCCTCTTATCCAAATTACAGTTTAAGCAAGAAAAATTGCAGGGAATAAATAAATTGTTTTTCACAACAGAAATTAGCCACATCCGAGATCACTTCAAGCGGACTGCACTGTAAAATAATAATAATACTAATACATCAGTGCAGCAAATATTTTTTCATTGATGTGGACTCATGTTTACCCTCACCGCCCAATTCACAAAAGTTGCCTGAAAATATGTCTGAAGTAAACAGTATTAGTAAATATAATTTGATATTGACGACAACACATCAAATGCTTCTTGGGGTATACCACTTGTGAATGGAAGATGGCAATGTCTGCACACTTCAGTCCATAGGATATCCTAGAAAGTCTTATGAAACCTAATTCAGTTAGTAAATGCTGGCAAGAATTCATATGCATCAGTACTACATAGTTATACAAGAAAATTGTATGTCAGTCAGGTGCCATGTCTGAATTGAAGGATCAGTGGATCCTGCTATGCATCTCCAGTATATTGCCTCTCATCCTGGTTGTACACTTAGGACTGTTCATCCGTCCTTTCATGTTGTTCTCCCATCTGTATAAATGTCCCTGGCTTGCCTGTGACTTTCCCTCCAGCATATTCTTATAGTGGTGTTATGTCTTTTCATGTGGCTAAAATGTATCATTTGTCTCTTGTTTATGTCTTTCAACAACTCTGTTTTCGTTCAATACCTCATGAGTACCTCTGTTTTTTTTTTGTTTTTGTTTCCCTAAAGTTTGACCTATTCTTCTGTGCATACATATATCCTAAATTCAGTTTTGTAATTGCTTGTTCATTGTCCAGGTTTTTGCACAAAATCCTAATTTTGATTATACATCTCCTCCTATTTTTCTTTAATTCTGCTGCTTATAGTTTTGGTTATACTTCTTTTCTTCTTTTATCCTTCTGTTTATGCCATAAAGAGTACAGAGAGAAGTTAAATTTAGTTTCCTCTCTTTGGCCTCTTGTCTTGTAGCTTGTCTTCTCATATGGTACGTTCTAGCAGCTGACTGATTTTGTTCCATTCTGACTAGGGGCTCAAACCATTTGATTCTTTGGTGGTCTGTGAAATTTCTTCTGGTACTGTGCCTTTCATTGTTCTCAGTTCTTCATTGGTGACTGTGTCTTCTTGTTTTCCTGCCACATTTCTTATATACCTCATATTGGTAGCGCATTTATCAGGTGCTTTTTTATGTGCCGGTTGTTATTTTGATGCCTCAGCGATGGGGCTGTTTTGTAATTTATGTTGTTGGCCTTCTGTATTCTGTTTTATATTTCTCTGTCAGATCCTCCCTCCTTACTCAATACACTGCCTAGGTACTTAAACTCCTTTGTTTGTTTTAATGTCTCTACTTCAACGGTGATGATATGTTGACCTTATGTTCTTTTTTTTTTTCTTTCATTATTTCTGTGGGTTTTTTCAGTATTTATTTTCAAATTATATTTCTGGCAACAGGTATCAAGGCTGTTAATGTGGTGTTGGATTATGCAAACATTTTAGCATTGATATATTTTAATGTGTTGTTTATCTCTGTTGAAGTCAGTAATGTGTGCATGTTGTTGAAAATAATTTTGACCACACCTATTATTCTTGTGATTTCTGTTTTACTTGGCCATCATTTGATGATCCCGCCACAAGTTATGGACTGTAAGCGAAACCCGGACTAATTCAGCAAATCAAGTGTATAATTACACATGACAGAATTATAAAATACCTCTGTCCTCGGGTTTTGAGAGGACATTTTTTATAATGGGTACATAATCGGCAGTTCAGATTTTATATTATCTCATTTTGTTATTATTTACCCCTGTCAATACTTTTTCTCAGTCACTGCTGTCTCAGCCTTCTTATCTGTAATAGCACATTGTCTCTTCTTTTTTTTTTTCTTCTGCAGTTAATCTCTTGTATTCTTGACCTCTGGTTGTTCTGTTTGTAACCCACAGCCATTACCACAGAGGTAGGAAAGTGCTGGTCTCACTTCAGGCAATGGAAATGAGCTCTTCCTTTCTTGGCTCTGATAAACACGTGACACTATTGGAGGCAGATGGCACCTTGATCGGCATGGCACCTTCGTATGGGTCTGAGAGGTAACTGATATTGTTAGGCAGTATATCTGCTAGGTGTAATTGTTATTGTCCTTATTTTCGTTCTCTCATAAAAGGATGGTTGGAACGTTATATTGCAGTTACCTGCTGTTTGTGAAATGTATGCCTTTCGGCCATACACGTCCGATTTCAGCCAACTCTTATTTCTTTTTAGACATACTAAATGCAGCAAAGCCTGGAATAGGATATCACAATGTCTAGTTTGAGAATGGAGGTGGAGGCAGTCTCTGCTGCCTTCTGCTGGATTGAGAATGAGCTGTACACACATGTCGTAATTAAACTGACTCACAGAATATGCTGAGAAAGGTGGAGATAGGCATTGTGTATGCAGAGTGGCAAGCATCACTTCAGAGGTCCCGGGCAGTTTTGCATACTTTGGAATTTTTCTCCATATCATGCTGGTGTGTTGGGAAATGAGCAGGCAGATAGACTGACGGGTTTTGCACCATTTGGTGGTGAACTGATTATTAAAAGCTAGATGTTGTTAGGGCTCTTTGGGAGCGAGTAAAAAGTGCATAGATCATTATGATCTGAGGAGAATGGCGCTGCAAGGAGTTACCAGGGAATCTGGCAGCACTGTCCTGATTTTCAGGGTTGTTATTTGTCACTTTACAAAATGCCAAAGGTACATGAAATTCCTACCCCAGATATGTCAGAATGAAGTGTTACTTTTTAAACACCTAGACAAATCTTATTTGCCACTCAGTTTTCAGACACATTTTTTTCAAAACAAGGATTTATCTGTTCTGCGACTTTGGTGTGGTGACAGTAATTTGGACTTCATTTTTTTAAAACAGTACTTCCATGGCTGGATTTAACATGTATTTTTTTTAATTCTTTTATTCCACAGGACAAGTACAGCGAGACAAGAGTGATCATGCTTAATTCTAGAAGTGCAGATTTTGAAGTGAACACATTTATACTTATTTGGAAAGGCAAGATTAACGACTGTTGATAGTTAGTAAAAGGCATATGAAGTAATGTGAAGCTTTGTGTAAAACCTAAACAATTTCTAGTGAGCCAGTAGGAGGTGAGGAAAAGATGCTGGTCTTGTATAAGACACACATTAAAAAAAATCATATAACGGTATGTGTCCCATAAGTTTGCTTGCAAAGGAAAACACATTTTGACGTGTGCCCTCCACTGCCAAAGAACATGTATAAGCACAGGTGGAGTTATGCTTGTAGTGGCATTAGTGAGATTTCCTCTGTATGGACATTTTTGTGTGACTTTTTGTAAAATGTTCCTGCAATGGAACTCACAGGGGCAAAGGAATAATTTAAAGGCATAAAGGCAGACCCAAAAATAAATGGAGAGCATAATTAGATGTGATAAAACAGATTGGGTAGAGATACAGTGAGCTGGAATACAGTGAGCTGGAGATACAGTGAGCTGGAGATACAGTGAGCTGCATGTGATAGCCAAGGTTAGGATGATTTGTTGCTAGTTGAGGGCTTGTCCTCCCTTTTGGATGGGGTGTCGGAGGGGATGTACAGGGCAGAAAAGGGAAAAGAAGATGTAGCCCTTCTGAGGACTAACACCTACAGCTGAAAAGATAAGAACAACACCAATGATAAACATTCTTCTCAGACCTCGGTTGACAAAAACAACACTTATGGTAAACATTCTTCACAGACCTCGGTTGACAAAAACAACACCAATGGCAAACTTTCTTCTCAGCCCTCGGTTGATAAAAACAACACCAATGGTAAACATTCTTCACAGACCTCGGTTGACAAAAACAACACCAATGGTAAACATTCTTCTCAGACCTCTGTTGACAAAAACAACACTTATGGTAAACATTCTTCACAGACCTCGGTTGACAAAAACAGCACCAATGGTAAACATTCTTCTCAGACCTCGGTTGACAAAAACAACACTAATGGTAAACATTCTTCACAGACCTCGGTTGAAAAAAACAACACTAATGGTAAACATTCTTCACAGACCTGGGTTGCTGAAAACAACACCAGTGGTATACATTCTTCACAGATTTGGGTTGCCAAAAACAAAATTAATATAAAGATTAAACTAAAACATGCAGCGAAAAGAAAACATACCAAAGTTATAACCAAAGCTTCTAGAAGCTGGCTGAGCGAGATCAAGATTTGTTTCCCAAATCAAGCAGTAAGAAGAGGAAAAAGGCTTGTTTTACTATTATCTGTTGAAAAGAGTTTGTTTTGCTCTTAAAACTCTAGGCAGTGTGGGAGTTCTATGTCTTTCTGATTCCTCCGTCCTTTTTTTTTTTAAAATAAGGGGACTGTGTTGCACCAAATTATGCACCTCAGATCAATCCTCTCACATGCATTTTTGTAGGCTTTACTTCCTTTAATTTACAGTACAGAAATTCAAATATCTGGGCACATAAATAGCGTGCGATGGAATATGTATCACAGACATTGAGAATAGGACAGGCCAAAACTGCATTATGTGAAATGATGCACATTATATGCAATAAATCCATTGAAGAATTGGGAAAGAATTCTGGCATGCTATATAGCCAGTTTTACCAAACGGCTGTGAATCTTGGTCAGTTAGTTAAAAAAAAAAAGCTAAAACAATTTATTGAGACCTCACAGATGTGGAGAGGCATGATCGCCCACGCCAGTCAGCAAGGCACTTGGTGATAATGATGACATCGTTTAAAAAGATTCCACTTGCCCAGTGAATAGGTTTTTTGCTGAAAACTTTTGCCATGTCAGTGAGTTTATGCATGACCAGCTCTAGCTGAGGGGCCATGCTGCTGACGTCACCAGGTCGGGCTAACGATGCATTAAAGCAGCTGTTCTCAGACTGGGTCCTCAGGCACCCTAGGCTGCCGTGAGCATATGCTAGGGGTGCCGCGGCAATAATCAAGTCAAGTCAGCTAAAAATTTTGAGATTATTAAAGAAGGCATAAAAATACTTAAAAGTTAACATTTGTCTTCCCTCGCCACTGTCAAAAACGTTTTTTTCTTGTTTGAGAACCGCTGCATTAACGCATCGTTAGCCGGTCCCCGTGGCGTCAGCAGTATGGCTCATCAGCTGGAGCCAGTCATGGTTTATGGCCTGCTCTAAAATACATTGTAACCTCATATTTTTTTCACATTATCTAAGAAGATGGCGTCTCCAGTTTCGTTGCTCAAAGGATTAGAAAAGCCTGGGATATCATTAGGAGCCTGTTCTTATAAAACTGCTTATTCCAGGGCTAGGAATTGTACCAGGAAACTTTGGATAAAGACATCACGCCCTCTAAGTCATGCCTCCTCAAGTTGTTTCTTCTGTTGTTTTTGGCAACATTACATCCATACTAATATAGTCACTATGTGTAATTTTGAACTTGTGAACGTGATTTGTGTTTGTTCAGCTGAAATCTTATCATTGCATCGACTCTTATGTTATAGCAGCAGCAGTTGTAAGTAAAGTGGACCCTTTTTTACCTCAGAGGCACAGCGGGCATATGATCCTGGACTCATATTTTATTCTCTGATCGGCACTCTGTGGGTGATGTGGTTAGTTAGCATCATGTTGACTGCCATTACTTCCCAGGACTTTACCTGGAACAAAAGTTAGTTGTGTATCCTTTACAGGACGTTGCAGAACCAACTCCAGCATTTTTCGGCTATGGTTTTCCTAGGCAAATTTTACATTCAGTAGTTTGCCATTGCCCCTGAACTGTCAGCTCTCGGTACCACAGTTGAATCCGGCACCCTGGCATTACGAAGTTAGCTAGAATTTGTTTTAGGATTTTTGACCTGGAAGCTAGGGTAATGCTTGAAAAAAAAAAGTCTTACTAGCAGCATTTGACCCTTGTCTTTATTTTTATGATTATGAACGATTGCTGGGCAAAGATTTAAAATGAATTCATTAAACATACACTATAACTAGGAGCCTCAGCTAAAGGGGAAGGAAAAACAGAAACAGTCACATCTTTCGACCCAAAGTCTTTATCAGTGAGTGGCACAAGAAGAAAAAGAGAAATCCTAGACACCAGTCCAGACATGGAAGAGTCACTGTGATGAACTTTAAACACTTATAATTTGTGTGAAAGATAAGAGTGGCTGTTCATGTTTGCTGATTTGATAATACATTGTTTTCATACAAATTAAAAGTGTTCCTGCTTGTTTTCTCTTTGTATAGTTAGTATTTTGATATTATCTGCCGATGGTTGTTAATAAAACTGCATTTTAAAAAAAAAAAAAGGTTTTGGGTGGAAATGTTTATATAAGGGCTGTTAAAATGAAATTGTGTGTTTGCTGTCGGCCAGATTATAGTTTATGTAATACCAGGGAAGGGATTATAAAAAATAATATCATCTCATCTTGATCCTCTTTTACCTCGCTGTGTTGAGGTGAAGTATAGTTTACAGGACAGTGCCCATTTGTGTGCGTCATAAATGGGAATTCCCATGGACTCTGTAATTCCCTCTGTCCATTATTTGCATGGTTGGCATCTGCTTCGCTTCCCATCTGGTCTGAACATCATTGCTTGCTGTAGTATACTTTTTGTGGCATCCACATTTATATGACCAAACCAATTCATTTGTTCTCTAATAAAGATTCAGAACTGTGCTCTCGCTTGAAATTTCAGCTCAACAATTCATCCATTTTTTTTTCTTTATTTTTTTTAATAATCTGTTTGCAACACATTCTAGAGAAGAAGAGTTAAGCAAGCCTGGAACTCTTTGAAGATCACATTAACACAAAAATAACACATGATATTAACACCTCATTTGCTTTTAGAGACATTTTAATAATCATTGCATAGCACATTTAAGGCCCCTTCTGTTTCATTGACAAGATCAAAAAATTCTGTTACATAAAAATTAACAAATGTAAATACATGATCAGTAAGGTATTAACTAACTCCTTACTTTTGATTTACTAGCAATACGTGGGTAATAAAACACGTAAGTTTGCATTATTGCACTGTATAATAATTATAAAACACTTGGGAATTAAGCTGAAATTGGATAAAAACAATTGCAAGATTTAAAAAAAACATAACAAGAACACATTGTGTGGCACTTTTGAGCAACAAAGTTTCAATGATTTGCTAAAGTTATACACAGGTTGTAAATGACCCATGTGATTTTATTTGACTTGACAGAGTTGCAGAAGAAAATAAAATTTGACCAGTAACAAATTTCTGCCACATACAAATTTTTATTTTAGAGAATCCAGAAACCATGAGTTGTAAACCCTTTGGCTCCGTACTATGGATATCGCAACCCCTCGGCCTTGATTCCATAATAAATAACGTAAATCTGGGAGAAATGTGGCTTTTCTGCCTACCCCCGGACGTGAACCTGGACAGAAAGGAGTTCGTCACCCGGTCGAGGGTTTTAACCAACTGCGCTAGTGAGCCGAGCAAAAAATATTTTTAAAAATTATGTTCCACCTCCGCAGTGAAGGGTGACTACTGTGGGAGAATTAATTATGTGGTGAGGTCCCAGTCTGTTCCATGGTGAAACTCTCATGCTACTGTCTGGAACCCATGGCAGTAGTAGTTTTCTTTTTTCTTTTTTAGAATCCACCGCGGGAATCAAACCCTGTTACCTGAGGATCATAAAACTGTTAAATGTATCCACTAACATGAAAACTACAGGGTCCTAAAAGGCAAAGTTTATACAATGCAAACCGATGGAAACAGTTGATGGGCAGCGACATAAATATGAAGATAACATTCAGAGATGGACGCACAGCAGTCTAAGAGAGTGTCAGAAAGACAGGCTGCGCGAGAACCATTGCAGCCAACTTTTATTGTGGAGACGGCACCAGATTTACTGATTGCCATAGTTAGTGACTACTTTTTTCTGCGTGCATACAAATGCCGAAATGAAGCAGGAGTACGGAAAACATTTACTTGGATCAACATCATGGCACAAGAGGTAACCCATAAGTGCTCCATTCTACTTCAGACTGAGGCCGAAGTCTCTCAGTACAGTACATGAACTCTGTAGCACCGGCTATGATCCTGAAATACTTTGGGTAGATTTTTAACTCAAAATTTTGCCCGAGTGGCGCTGTTAGGCTACTCTTATTGATTTCCAACTGCAAGGGGATTTTTTACGTGCGCAACAATACACACGGGCGTCCGATCTTACTACCCAGAGACCAGGGGAAATTACTAGAAGTCCACGTGGGGAAAAGACCCCAGCTTTCACCGGGGCCTAAACCCGGGACGTCCAGCACTCGAGGCGGACGCCTTGCCCCAAAGAGCTCCCTTTGGAGATGCTGGTTGAACGTGACAATTTTTTAAAAAATCGGATGGGATCAGCGAAGGCTTCAGACTGAACTGGGCATCATAAGAACTGACAGCAAGTCAAACGCTCAAGGAAAAAGGTTGTTCTTCTCCCTACCCCAAGAAACCACAGTCGCTTAATTCCACAAACACGAAGATACTGATTTCTCTCAGGTTTGTGTGTGAAGTTCGGGTATTTCAGTCTGAGCAGTGTGACACAGAACCAGTACTGAACTTTATAGGTTTACAGAATCTGGACCGCAGAAATATCTGAGATACTAAATTGTACTTTCTACGAAGCGAACAAAAGGGCCCGTTCCAGGGATCTCTTTCTGTCCTGACGCCGCGAGGAAAGGAGAAGAAGCAGTGTGACTTAGCGTAACACAGGTACTAGACAATGCCATGGGAAGTAAATATCGCCGGCATACCGACCACAGCAATTGCAGATAGTTAATCAATTGTTGACACCACATACACTGAAGCTGCATTGGTGTAGTGGCTTGATGCATTTCCTGCCAGTTCAATATTTTGGGTTCGGATCCGCATCGATTTTTTTTCCAAACATAACCTAGGCATCGTGGTCGACCCAAGTAAGTAAAAGGTGTACACAATCCGAGTTATTTTTTGCACTGGGGGTCTTTTCTAACATCACTTCAGAAACGAGGCTAATTCCATTCTATTTTCAAAAGTCATGTACTGAATGCATGATACATAGTTACAGACGTCTGAAACCTACGGCTCGCCAGCCAGGTGTGGCACTATGAAGACTCTTCAATGGCACACTGAGAAAATTGGTGTCATTCACATATGATGTGATTATAATTATATAAACAAACAATTCTTTGAAACATTGCATTGTTTTGTTTCGATGATCGTCGTAAATTAACAAAAAATATTTGATTTAAGTCTACACTTTGAATTATTTGGCAACATTACTTGGGAATAACAAACCTAAAGTTTGCCGACCCCTGCTACGTTTTATTTTTTTGTGATTATCTGGTCTTTTGTTTTCTCCTTAAATCACGAGGCTTTTATATTTGTTCTTTGGAGAAGCGAACAACGCCAAAGCGCAAACATATAGACCATTACGGTGTGTACAGACTTGCGCGGCGGGGACTGACCAGGAAATCTGGCCGCACCCTGTACTCAAGATGGACACATAATCAATCTGCTAAACTCAAGGCATGGAAACGGCAGGCCAAAGTCTCTGGAAGCGATCAACGACAGCTGAAGAATACAGAACATGATTTTGATCGTGAGTCCTAAAAAAACAAAATCTTCTTTCGTCTATTACTTTGTTCCCGATCCAGGATGTTCTTTGCCATAATCTACTCACATTACGCGTAAAGGGGTGTCTGTCTTGACCTCCAAGACCAGATGTGCTCTAATGATTGTGCCTTGTCCATGGACGTTTAGTGACCTGTTTATCTTGTCATTCCATTGTTGTTCTGATCTTCTAAGGCAATGTTCTGATCTTTCTGGTTTTGTGTTTAAAATGGTACTTGATTTGGTTTTGTTCTCATAAGATGCCCAAGCATTTAATGTGTTCTTTGAAGGTGAATTCCATGCCTAATGTTATGTCAACAACACCTTTGAGCGAGTTTTGCCGTCTGTCTTTAACAAAATCTCAGCAGTCTTTTTAAACAGTTTATCTCAAATGCCAACAGAAACAAATCCCAGCACCCTTATGCACTTGATGCATGTGTATGCTACTGACTTTGCCGAGACTGTGGCCTTAAAGGGACAGCAATAAGCTTTTTATGTGGGTTTCATTGCTACAAAAATTAAATGGGTGACCAGTTTTCCACTAAGCTGGAACAAGGATCAAATAACTAGTTGCAAGACACACTGATGTATACTGATGTCGCTGTCAGTGAAGGTTTCCAGTGTGCAGCCGCTGAATGTTATTTAGTACCAGGGTTGAGCTGATAACAATGTTAGAACAGAACAAGCTTCTAAAAAACTGCTTTTGCTTTCTTTCAATGTAGACATATTGTCATTTGCGGTCTTTGATTCTCTTGGTGGTTATTTGTTTTTCTGTCTACATCAGTGAACACTGAACGTTAGAAAGTTTAAGTAACGTTTCATCATCATTAATTTCCACTTCCGCCGTTAAGCGTTGTGGGGAGGAAGAGTTTACGATCCACTGCTTGATGGGAAGCAATGGCTATTGTCATTTTCTGTCAATAAGCTCTTTAATGCCACAAATCCATGTTTTTCTAGGGCGACCTCTTGCTTTCACTTCAAATCTTTTCTTGTGTAGCCCCTGCGTTGGTATCTGTTCTGGTTGCATAAAAGTAACTTGTAGTGTAAAGAACTGGGTTATTTGGACTGAATTTCTAGTCATTTCCGTGAAACCAAATGTCAGATCGTGTAGTTTCACCAGTCGTGGCATCAGTAAGCCAGTTCGGCTCCCCAGGGTCTGTATGGTTTGACGGAGTTGCCTTGATTCTGGCCTTGGTTTTGATATGAAGCACTGGAATTCTGTGCAGACATCATGGAAGACACGGAGTTCATGTTCAAAGCAGATACAGGGAACTGTGAGTGAAGGTTCGGGAGAGTGGAGAAGAGGGGTGGGGATATCTGAGACTGCCCTACTGAATTATGGTTCATGGGGGTAATTGGCGCAGCAGCAGAGCTGGCTGAGCTGCTGGAAAGTCTCATGTGTCCTGCCAGAATCGCATCTGTTTGTGGATGACGAGATGTGTCAGTGAATGATGAGCCAGCAGAGTAGATGCCAGATGACCCGCCGATGATTCCACCTTGGTGAGATGAAGTTGGCATTGAAGAAATGTGTTCTGACTGATTAAGATGGTGATGTTGGCTTGGAATGACCCCCGACATGGGCGCTGACATAGAAGAGCTGCCATACTGAGTGGGGGTGAAGCTTCCATGACCTCCCATCCCGCCCATGCTGCCCATTCCACTCCATGCGTTGCCTTGGAGCGAGGCTTTAGCTGCCGCTTCACGCTGGGCAGAATAACATTGAAGATGCCCCAGCAGGCGTAGCCTGAGCGGATCCTGAAGGTCTAACCCTTCTACGGCGACTAGATAACGGGCAACTTCAGCTGCACATTCTCTGAAACCAATGCCACGGTAATCTACCGCAACGGCGTGTGGGTCGAAGTTGTAACTGTTGAGACCTGCAAAGAAATGAATTAAGTATTAATGAGGGAAACAATTGTATGTAAAGAAACATTACGGTAAGTTGATACTTCTTTCTTTCCTTCTTTCTTTCTTCCTTTCTTTCTTTCTTTCTTTCTTTCTTTCTTTCTTTCTTTCTTTCTTTCTTTCTTTCTTTCTTTCTTTCTTTCTTTCTTTCTTTCTTTCTTTCTCTCTTCTTTTTGCTTTCTTTCTTTCTTTGCTTTCTTTCTTTCTTTGCTTTCTTGCTTTCTTTGCTTTTCTTCTTTCTTTCTTTCTTTCTTTCTTTCTTTTCTTTCTTTCTTTCTTTCTTTCTTTTCTTTCTTTCTTTCTTTTTCGTTTTTTTCTTTCTTTCTTTTCTTTTTTCTTCTTCTTCTTCTTTCTTTTTCTTTTTCTTCTTCTTTTCTTCTTCTTCTTCTTCTTCTTCTTCTTCTTCTTCTTCTTCTTCTTCTTCTTCTTCTTCGTCTTCTTCTTCTTCTTCTTCTTCTTCTTCTTCTTCTTCTTCTTCTTCTTCTTCTTCTTCTTCTTTCTTCTTCTCTTCTTCTTCTTCTTCTTCTTCTTCTTCTCTTCTTCTTTTCTTCTTTGTTTCTCCCCCTTCTTCTTCTGCTTCTGCTTCTACTACTACTACTACTACTACTACTACTACTACTACTACTACTACTACTACTACTACTACTACTACTACTACTACTACTACTACTACTACTACTACTACTACTACTACTACTACTACTACTACTAATACTACTGCTGCTGCTGCTACTACTACTACTACTACTACTACTGCTGCTGCTGCTGCTGCTGCTACTTCTGCTGCTGCTACTTCTGCTACTACTACTACTACTACTACAACTACTACTACTACTACTACTACTACTACTACTACTACTACTACTACTACTGCTACTACTACTACTACTACTACTACTACTACTACTACTACTACTACTACTACTACTACTACTACTACTACTACTACTGCTACTATTACTACTACTACTACTACTTCTTCGTCTTTTTCTTTTTCTTCCTCCTTCTTCTCCTTATTTCTCATTTTCTTCTTCGTCTGCGTTCGCCTTTCAAAGGACCGCTGGTACATTCCTATGCAGTTTACGGCTAAACTTCGATATCTGCCCCTTTCAGTTGAACACATCCAATTTCAACGAAAGGAGGCAGTGAGTATATTACCCCACCCCCAACCACCTCTGCCCCCCCCCCCACCCCCAACGGTGAGGCAGCGGAACCCAGACGGGAAGTAAATTGATGCAGTTGCATACCATTTCTCACTATGCGAGCTGATCAGTTGATTAGAATGTATTAAGTTTTTATCATAATTTTCCGAAAGGCCCTAAAATGTAGACAAAGCCACGCAAGCGGACAGCAAACCTGACACACTTCACACACTGAGCCAGAAGTAACCACGGACGCTATGACGTGTACTTTTCGCGGGAATTTCTTGCGATGCTGACAGCCAAAGATCAAGCTGATGTTAAAATATTATTTGGCCAGCACCAACAAAAACCGGCGATAATGATGGCAGCTTTGGTGTCAAAACAAACAGGAGGCTCCGGAAGATCAGGCAGCCATACATGTTTGTTTTTGTGTCCGGAATATTTCCTTTTAAGAGCAACCAGAGGTCATCGTTAATAATCTTAGATGCCTTTTTTTTGCAAGTGTTACTGACGTTAGCAATACCATTAGGGCGCCAACACAAAGAAAGCGCGGAAGCCCCTCGACCC